TGTGAAATGGGAATGATACTACTATCTACTTCACCGAGCTGTTAAGAGAATGATGTGAGATTATTCATGGTAAAGCGCGTAGAACAGTGCCTGGCACATAATGTGCACTCAATAAATGCCAGCCATTATTATATCTCCAAAATTAACTGCCTAGAGTATGTATTTTCTCCCTTCCAGTCTAACCAAACTCCATCAGGACAAGTGGGCATATCGATGGGGTTTTCACACTAACTCACACAATAGCAGTATATACTCACAGTAATTTTGTTTTCATAGCACTTTCGTTCTCAATAAATAAAAAAAAAAAAAAATTGTGCAAACATAAACACTCCGACCCCCAAGCTTCTAACCAACGAAATGTCCGGACCTCAATGGACAACACGGCCTGAAAAGAGTCAATGTTTTCATCGGCTATCGAGCGGGGAAGCTGACAAATTGCTAGGTACCACATCTGGGTACCGGCAGTCCAAAGCAGGCCAAAGCGGCTTAGGGCTTACGGCCACAGTCCGTTTACAGAAATGTTTCCTTTTTCCATTTTCCTCCCCAGTGTCGAAACTAATGACGTCCTTTTCTCCTCTGAACAGAGGCCAAACATCTCTCCTCCAAACCTGCGCGTCTCACCCCCACGATTCCCACTGTCTCCCGACTCACAGAGTGTGTCCGCAGACATTCACCATCAGCTTCAAGGAGGGGTTCCGGTATTTGGTGGTTTTACACCGGGGGCAGCCCTGATCGTCCATGGCGCCTTCCTTCGTAAGAACTCTACCCGACGTCTGCTCCAGCCACGGCCACAGTCACCTCCAAGCCCCTCCAGACCCGACGCCAAGCAGGTTTCTACCAACAGGCACTTGGCTGAGACGGTCCCTTTACGAACGAGCTCCGGCCGGGGCGAGGCACTGCAGCACAAAAGTTCCGGCAGCGAGTTTTCCGGTCCCGCCGCTGGAGCTCAGTCTTAGCTTCCGTGAGCCAGCGCAATACCTTGGATTTCAGGGGAGGGCTTTCAAAAAGGTATATTGTACACAAAGCCTCATCTCTGTGCACCTCTGTATTTTTTCAAAGAATATGTATCCCATCTTGTTCTGTCTGAAAAAAAAGTCCATGGCTTCAAAGATTTATGCCCGGTGTACATAAGCTATTGGATAATTCAAACTAGTATTTTCTTTTGAACAGTACGATAGTGTGTGCTTTTTAACTCTCTATACTTGCAGTCATGCAAGCACAAAATACTGTGCATTCGCAAAAAGAAAGTTTGGAGAAGTTATTTAGAATGAAAGTCTCTGCACCCGCCTTAAATTTACAGATTCTCACTAAATGTCAGAATACTTCTATAAATAATATCTGGCATCTGCTCTGCAGAGATTATAACAGTGTCACCTGGCTTACCGGTGTCACCTGGCTCTAATATCTCTTACCCTCCCCCATCGAAGACACTATTTATTTCCCCCAAATACCAGGGGTTGAAACCACACGAGAATATACACTTTATTTCAGCAATTCCAAGATTTGAGAGCCTGAATCTCTCTGTAAATTGTAAGCCATGTTCACTGCATTTATCAAGACTGCAGAGTGAAGTCTGTAAACAGTTCTATTAAATAATAAACTCCTCCCACTGTAAGGGTCATGTCTTATCTCAATAACAAGGATTTGTTGATAATAAGTAAACAAAAAATTAATGAATGACTATCAAATAGTAGTGTAATGTGAAACAAATTTTATGCCAAGTATTATCTTGTAATCTGACCCAAATTTCATCAGAAGTGGGTATGCAGACAAAGCTTTTCAAATTAACCCACACAATGAATACCAGCTGTATACACTCATACTAATTTAAACTTTTCATGGCACTTTTGCTCTTTTCAATAAAAACCTAAAAAAGAACATTCTAATTCCCACCTTTTTAAACAATGAACCTAGTAGGCAACCCATAGTGTGGAAATACAGTTAGGAAGGTGGAACCTGATGAATAGCTAAATACCACATTTGGGAACCAGTAGACCAAGGCAGGCCATGACAGCACAGGGCTTTATATTAGTATATAGATATCAGGGATTCACCCAATAAACAAATCATATCATCTGCTTGATCATAACATTAACAGCAGCAAACCAAAAGTAAGTTTACTAAAACAGGCAATACCAAATGCTGTGCTAACCTGGAGGCTTATTATGCTGCTATTGTCTTACTGAAAGAGACCACATCCAAACCAGTTAGATGACTCAAGGTGAAGCTCTCTAAGAATAGAGGCATTTTTAGGATCGTTATATTTTAACAGAACAGGAAACTTCTGGTGAAAGAGTTAATATGGTCAGTGAGCAAATACAATTTTTAGCCAATACTAATTACTACAATAATCACGGAGCTAGAGGCAGTAGAAAGTAGTGCTTATGGATTTGACTGGATTCAAGTGTGGGTTTCATGACTTGCTAGCTACATGACCTTGGGCCTCAATTTTCCCAACCGTAAGTTGAGGATAATACTTGTAAAGATTAAATGAGATATGTCATTTTAAGAACTTAACACGGTACTTAGCACAGAGTAAAAGCTCAATAACTGTCAGCTTTTATTAATAGTAATATGAGTATTATTAGGAGTAGTATCTAAAAGAGGCAGCATAATGTAATGGTTAGAGCCTATCCCTTTGAAACAGGTCTGTTTGTTCAGCTAAATTTCTTAATCTCTCTTACCTGTTTCCTTCCTCCGTATAAAACACTCAAGACTGCTGTAATGATTAAATTACATGACATGTTTATATTGAAAGGCCTTACTACAATGTCTTATACTTAACAGAAACTCTGAAATGTACACCATTATTACTGGTGGGGTTCACTAACACAGAATGGTCAGAAAGTTTTGAAAAGAGAAGCACTGACAGCATCAGATTTCAGATTCAAATAGAACCTCAGTCTATGTTAATACCACCAAACTAACAAGTTTCCTACATTTCTGAAGACAGATGCATCCCAACAATGAACCTATTGAGCCTGTTTCTCTTCCCAAATCCATTTATCCTCTAGCATTCCTATCTCAGTTAAGAGTAGATTCTACCTCCTTTGGGCAGTGTTTCTCAAATGCAGACCTTCTTTACCCGTCCCAAGGCTATGGATTCAGGTTGGGCTTTTCCCATCTGAAGGGTACATTTATTTATCATCCCTCTCCCATCTTATGGAAAACAGATCCTCTCCCACAAGCCTCTGGTGTTCTAATGGGTCTACCAACACAAAGCTGTCCTTCTAGCCTAGGAGTTGACATACAATCCTTATTGGACCAATCAGAAATCTTCCCTAGGATTTTTCAAATTGACAATAAGGAAAAAGTAGCAGAGGACCTCTTTAATGAAGTTGGAAAATGTGAGCTGGGAGTTACTCAGAGCCATGGCTCCAAACCTTTTGGGGAAAGCCCCTCTGAAAGACTAAAATTAATCTGATGAGAAAAGCAGAGACAGTGGATCTTCAAGTCCAAACTGCTGCATTCTTGCTCTTCACATTGTTTGGTATCATGATCCAACAAATTCATCTTTTGTCCTAGGCTAGTTCAAACGGGGTTTTTGGCTCCTGGGGAAATTCATATCACCACAAAAAGGCAAGAATGCTGCTGTACCTGGGAGATGGCTAGAACCTGACATATTGCATCTCTACCAGGATCTTTTCCCTCCACTCTACCCCATGCAACTCACTAAGTCCCCCTCCCTCTCACCTTTACTGATCATCAGCATCCCCACAGGCAGATAGCTTGGTCACTGAGAACTTTCAAGCATTACATCCAAGTCTCCCTCTACCAATCTTAACTCTTCTCCCCATGCAATATTAAAAAGCCCCAGGAAAAGATTGTTTTAGTTTGGGGCAAGTGCCCATCAGTGGACCAATTGACTGTGGCCATAATATTTTATTGTAATAGCCACTGGAGACAGACCTTTCTGTCCATTACACCACAGCAAACTGAGCATTTCACTCAAAGCCCTTCATAATTTGTCCCCAACATGACTTTTAAGCTAATCTCCCACCATACACTTACATAAAATGCACACCCCAGACACATTGAATTACTCAATATTTCAGAAATACACCACATACCTTCATGGCTCCATGCTTTTAGTTATTTTGTTCCCATTGCCTCAGATGAACTCTATCCTTGTCTTCTCAAAATTCTTGTCCTTAAAGGCCTAGCTAAAAATCCACTCCCCACTGCCCTCCTCCTCTCAAAATTAGTTTCTTTATCCTCACCGCTTCCATACCCTGTAAAGTATTTACTTATGAATGTCTTATCTCCCTCACATGACGTTAAGCTCATCAATTTATTCATCTTTCTATCCTTCAGTACCTGATGCAATACTTTGTACTCCATGAGGACTCGCTAAATTTTTGGCAAATGAATGATCTTCAGAAATGTTAACTACATATCATCAACTGTTGGTCACAATAACAACAGAACACCTGAAAGATAAATTTAGAATCTAACTTCCTTAATAGTACCAATACATAGCTTTCTGAAATAGAAAGAACCCACCAAGATACAGTTATATGGCCTTGCCAAAAGGATAGCCAAAGTCACCAAAAAAAAAGAAATCTCCATTTTTGGTGGCAACATCATTAAATATAGTCTAGCAAAGTATAACATTTTGTGCAGAAACAAATTTTCTTCAATACATTAAAATGACAAAACATTTCTATACACTCTCATCACTCTCTTTGGGCAGAAAGGAAAGATACAGAAACAAGCAGCTTGGTTTTCACTCTCACAGAATCCCAGCTTCAACTGTTTTTCTAAATCACAACACAGCTTTAGACTGCATATCAGCACAGCAGACTCAGTGTTCACAGCATGGTAGACATAGGAAATAGAAGAAAGTATTCATCAATCTTACAAATCATTTGGCACAACCAGTGCTCTGAGATTAACTCTACACACCCTCGAGTCTGGTGTTCCACTGTAGCTGACCATATTTGCATCGAGGACTTCCAGTCCACTTTAAATTGCAGCCAGAATGAGCTCTGAGGCTCAGCCTGCTAAAGGAATCCGGAGCCTGGTGTTGGATTTCACTTCTGGTCCTACAGGAATCTCCTCCTGGAGCTATAGAATACCAACATAGCTCAGGCTACAGATATCACAAAAGGTCACGGCTGCTTCTATATAATGTCGAACTTGGTGGTTTGGAGGCACTATACTAAAGACATGCAGAAACGCAATACATGGTTTTCCAAGTAAATGTGCTATATATTTAAATGATAATACACCTGAAGAAGACTTCTATGACCTGAACTTGGATAGCCCTATAATACAGTCAAATGAATTTTCCTTAGGCATATACAACTGAAAAGTTATCTGCTTTGCACTATCAGGAGGAAGATAATGAACACTTAACACATTAATTATATACCCAGTGTTTTTTGGCATGTTTTATCTCATTTAATTCTCACAACAATCCTGTCCACTTTTTATAGTCAAGTAGCTAATAAATGGCAGAGCTAGGATTAAACCTACATCTAGCTAGTTGATCCCCAAATCCATGTCCTTTCTACTAAACCATACCCCTCCCCATCTACTTTGCTCTGATAAATATGCTTTTCAAATTCAAGGAACTAAATGCAATGTAGTATCCTGGATTGGATTGCAGAACAGAAGACACAGAAGACACATATTAGTGGAAAAACTAGACTTTAATTAATAGTATTGTACCAATGTTAATTTGTGTTTAGATAAATGTACCATTATAATGTAAGATGCTAACATTAGGGGAAACTAAATAAAGAGTAGGTGGGAATTCTACTCTTTATGTAACTTTTCTGTAAGTCAAAATTATTCTAAAATGAAAAGTAAATTTTTAAAAAATTCAAGGAAGCTATGAATCTCAGATATTGTCCTGAAGCTCACTACCTAACTAGATA